TCTCCCCCTTTTTCGGTTTGGGGAGGGGGGGGGCCAGGGGGTTTCAACGCCCCCCCCCCCCCCCGTCCTTACCTCTTTCTGTTTTTTATGCCATCACCGTCCGTGCTAACCGACCTCCTTGCACCTTGCGTTTGGCAAAGGGACGGATTAATCATAGTTGAACATCCTGTTTCACGTTCTGATGAGCATTGGCGGGACATTATTTCTCATGACTACAACCAGGATGGAGGGCGGTTGTCTGGCTGGGGGGGGGGCATGCTCATGTTTTGCATCACTCAGCGGTTAGACCATTGACCACGTGGCCTCGAGAGGACGGACCGTTGTTCCCACAGGACCGATCACCGATGGCCAATCCTTCCTACCCTACAGTACTTTGCCAAAGGGTGCTCAAAAATGTATACCCTAGCCTATATATCCTCCGATATGGAGATCACCTCCCGCCTTTTGGGCCCACTTCCGTATGCCTCAGTGCAACTACCGTCTCCTCCTGGCTATTCCATCGCTCTGCACCTTCCTTATACTTTTCCTAGCCAAGCCATGTAGAGGACAAAACGGAGACATGACAGCCACAAGGGCGTCAGCATTATCCCCGCCTTAACACGTTATATCTTCCCCCTCCTGTGCTGCTGCTGCGTGGTGACCTGCCTGCTGTTCTTTGCCTTTTCTTGGGGGGTGCGAAGGCCGAAGTGGTCGACCGGATCGTTTCCTTCCTGGCTAGCCCGGATCCATCGGAATCCAAGGGCCCGGTCGCCAAGAAGCCCAAGAAGGCCGCTAAGAAGGTGTTTATTACTTGCTCTTCTCACGAACGCTGTGTATCTTGTGGATGATGTTTCGGGCGCCTTTTTTGTTGTTTATCATACATTGGTTCGGTCCCTGCTCTCGCTTGTGGTTATCTGGCAGCTTCTTGGTCTGCCGTTGGCGATGGAGTTACACACCTTTCTCAAGGCTGTTGCTCGTGTCATGTGTGGGGGGGGTGCCAACGGGCGGGAACAATAAATATAAAGCCAACAGCTCTCCCACCAACTCCCTCCTTGCTAACCGACACATGACGGATGATGTCTTGCCCGGTGTGGTGTGCGGGTGCTGCTCTCGTGTATTGTGCATCTAGCACTTGTCCGAGTCTGCTGTTGCTGACGATTGCCACATCACAAAAAGAAATATCCCTCGATCGAGTGCATGCCGTGGGCGCTTCTCCCAGAGCCATCATGCGACTCTGGGTGTTAGCTGTCGTCGTCCTCCACAATTGGGGTGAGACTTCGACTCACCTCCTTAATTCCCCGCGCTCTTGGCTTGGTGATTCGTGTTTGGCTCTCGGCCTTGTGGTCAACGGCCCATGGTTCCTCTTTCACGCACCCGTCTCCCGTCAGCGAAAGTCCACCGGCAAGGGCAAGAAGACCAAGAAGGCCAAGAGGGAGGTCAAGCCGAGGCCGCTGAACGGGTACATGATGTTCACCAGGGAGGCCCGCGCGAAGGTGCTCAAGGCCGACCCTGGTAAGTGGTCCGCGACGAGTGAGATACCTTTTTCCGTTCCGTGTTGTGTGGAAAACCGAGGGCCCGTTTTGATTGAAGAATTCCCTTTCTTGGGTGCGGTTCCTTGTTTGTTTTGTTTTTTTCCTCTCGAAAACCAAGAACAGGTTCATCTCTACCCACAGATAAGGCCCCATTTATTATGTGGTTGGTTGCGGATGCGGAACAACCGCACCTTTTTTTTTTTTCTACATCCACTATTTCGCATTCAAAGGCAACAGTGTGCTTTCGAATCGCCGTGGCCCTTGTGCTAGAGGTTGGAAGCCCAACCGAAGGCTAGGTCCGTTGCTGAAAAATTGGATAATAACTAAGCTTAGGGTTCTTCTTTGCAACCTTGTCAGGGGAGTGGGAGCGTTTTCCTCGGGCACTTGCTTTTTTCGTGTGTAATTGTTTTGCACCCTTTATGTTTTCGCGCGTGTGTTGTTTGGTGATTCTCGAAGATACTTCGGTGCACCCGGCGGTCTAATTTTGTTTTTTGGTTGTAGACCGAGAATCTTTCGTTTGTATCCTTCTATTTCGCTTCGCCACAGCGAGTGTTTGGGTGTTTTGAGTGAACCGTCTCTGCGAGAATGTCTTTGGGGGGTCTTTGGAATGTTCTTTGCAACACCGCAAGGGTACCCCCTCCAGGGTGAACGGTGCCAGCGCTCCTTTTGTTGTACGGCCTTGTATGATCGCAACCAAAATCTTGAACTCTTTGTGATCTTGTGGATTGTCGCGTGTGTGTTGATTTGGTTTGCATCGCCCGCACTAGCCTGCTCAACCAATGACAAGACGTCGGCCGTGTTTTTGTGTTTCTTTCGTTCATGTTGACCGCCCTAACCGACTGACTACGAAAATCTGCCTCTCTTATTGCGTGTCTTTTTTTGTTGTGCATTTTTGTTGTGCATTTTTTCGGGCAGGACTCAAGCCGACGGAAGTGACGGCCAAAATGGGACAGATGTGGGCAGAGTGCTCCGACGCTCAGAAGGAGGTGGGTGTTGTCAACCAACGGCACTGCTGCTTCGCTTGTGCGGCGGTGTATCTCGTTCTCGTGCGAAAGGGTCGTGGGCTCTTCCATAGTTTCGCCGCAAATTTCGGTTGGAGACCGTCCGCTCCAAAAATGGATTTCCGTTCTAGTTTTTGTTCGTCGCTAACTCTTTTCCGAGAAGGCCGACTCTCTGTGCGGGAACACCGCACATGTGGCACGTTTTTCCACGCTGTCGTTGCCTTCTTCAGGGATGCAGACTGCTGATGCTGCACGAGACACGAGCTACTGTAGGCGCGAAATATTCAGAACAAGCGCGATAAGTCCAGTGTGTGCCTTCGGAGCAACGTAAATTTGGTCGTGTTCCCAATCGATCGACGGAACATGATGAGTCCATTGTGTGATTTGGAGGATCGTCGTCACCCAATCGATCGATAGAACGCGATAGATCTATGGAATTTGGGGGCAAAAAGAATCACGTGGTGTCCCAATCAATGGACGGAAGTCGTCCCGACGTCGTCAGGAACAACTGCTGTAGACTATTCCTCGAGAGTCTTGGATGCCGATGTCGTTGCTGTTTCCTCGCTGATTTGTGGAGATGCAGACATATGTGGCCTTGACGCAACTGCTCAGCTGACGGGGGGGCATGTCATGATATCAACAAGTGGGGCGCACAGCTTGATGATTGGCGTTTGTTGCCCGCTCTCGGTTGTGACAAAGAAGGAAGAGGAGAGCACATTACGCAACGACTAGGTTCGGCCCCTTCTCTCTCCTTGTCTTGTCTCCAAGAATGTGCACCAAACACCTTGTTTTGTTTTTTTCCATTGGGATGATCTCGCCTCCGTTGTGAAGCGACCAGGCGGGATGCAAGGAACAATGCGCGTGCAACCTGGAGCCACGAACGGACTAAGTGAGAACCTCGCCCCCATCTCACCCCCAATTTTCCCGCTCGCAACGCTTTGTGGTTGCCGCGTTACCAGAAGTACAAGCAGCAGGGCATCAAGGAGTTCGAGAAGAAGAAGGGGGCCATGGCAGAGGAAGAGGAGGACGAGGAGGACGATGAGGGAGAGGACGAGGGCGAGGACGAGGGCGAGGACGAGGCAGAGGACGAGGGAGAGGGAGAGGGAGAGGACGAAGACGAGGTGGGCTGAAAAAAGTGCACGCGTCCGTCGTTTTCGGGCTTTTCGTTTCCCCCTTGATCTGTTCGTGAAAGCAGTCAAGGTATTTGGTACGGTGTGCAAAGTTCCTCAGCCATCTTGCTTGACTCGAAACCCCGCTCTTTTTCGTGCGACGCCCAATGCAGGACTCCGGTGACGACTCGGAGTAAGGCTCAGGGGGCGGCACGCAGGAGAAGTATTGTTCGCGGTTCCTTGGAACAATATGGCGGCGTTTTCCTTCCGATGCTGTGGGTAGCAGCGGGAAAACACGCATCTCTCGATTCGTTCCAAGGGAGAGCACTCGTTTTTCGTTCTGCGACCCTCAAGGTTGCTCCGCGCGCTTTTCTCGGCTGCGCGGACTCGCACACTGCTGTGCTGTCTTAGTAGATAGCCTCGCCTGGCGACCAGTGTCCGCGTTCGAAAGCGGAGTAGTGTATACGTATTTGTCCACAAAGCCAGAAGTGTTTACGAGAAGGAGGGGGGCTTGCCCACGATCTGGTGAGCTCTATTTTTTTAGCGTCTTAGCTGCCGACTTTCCCGGGGGGGGGGGGGGGGGGGGGGGGGGGGGG